CCCCCCCAACCGCCGGCACAGCCCCGAGACCTTCGGGGGGCCCGAGGGGGGCGCGGGGGGGGCCGAGCCCGACGGGCAGATGCAGCTGGTGACCAGCCTGTGAGACCCCCGGGAGGGGCGCCACGCGGGACCCTCCCTCCTGCAGGGGGCCGGGGGCACGCGGGGGGCGCGGGGTCACCGCGGGACACCCCCTTGCCAGGGGGTCCGGCCTTGAACGGGGACGCAGCCTGGGGGGACACGGGGGACCGGGCTCGCCCGGGGACCCTCCCTTGCTCGAGGCTCCGGGGGCGCACGGGGGGTCTGGCCCCGAGCAAAGACCCCTCCTCACAGGAGGGTCCGGCCTCGCACGGGGGTCCAGCCCCCGGCCGCAACCCCCTCGCAGGAGGTCTCGTCCTCACGGGGAGGGGTGGCCTCACACGAGGGTCCGGTGGCACTCAAGGACCCCCGCCCTGCACGAGGAGGCAGCACCGAGCAACGAGCCGGCCTTGCACGAGGACATGGCCGCCGCCAGAGGGGACAGCCAGTCCCAGGGCCCGGCCTTGCACGAGGAGCCGTGGTGTGCACCAGGCCGCGGTGGCACCAGGCCGCGGTGTCACGGTGTCCCACGAGGAGCTGCGGTGGCACCAGGCCACGGTGTCGCACGAAGAGCTGCGGTGTGACACGAGGAGTCACGGCGGCACCAGGCCGCGGTGGCACCAGGCTGCGGTGTCGCACGAGGAGCCGCGGTGTCACACAAGGAGCCATGGTGGCACCAGGCCACGGTGGCACCAGGCCGCGGTGTCCCACGAGGAACTGCGGTGGCACCAGGCCGCGGTGGCACCAGGCCGCGGTGTCCCACGAGGAGCCACCATGGCACCAGGCCGCGGTGGCACCAGGCCGCGGTGTCACACGAAGACCTGGCTTTGCGCAAGGGCCTTGCACAAGGATCCATCACCTGGCGCCACACGCGGGGACCTCACCCAAGGATCCACCCCGTGTCACCCGAGGATCCACCCGGCGCCACATGCGGGGACCTTGCTTGGGGACCTCGCTCGGCCGTGCCCCCCTCGCAGCAGGACCTCGCACCAGGACTTTGCCCCCGGACCTTGCACGGGACCCCCCCCTCGTGCCCCCGCCCCGGCGTGGGGGCGTTTTGGGAGGGTCCCTCAGCCACATTCTGAGGGCCCCCCCAAAAGCCATCCCAAGGGGGCCCCCGTGGCCTCGGCAGCACCGAGCCGGGGGGTGAGGCACTAACACCCCCCCAAACTGTGGTGTCCCCCCACAGCAGGGACCCCCCCGAAACGGGGACCCCCCCACAAAGAGACACATTTTCCTTGTAATATAGATGTAAATGGACCAGCCCTCCTCCCCCCCCC